GCCCAGCAGTTCGTCCATAAAACATTAATCACTATCCCCCTCCTTGAGAGGCTCTGACCAGTGAAGTTGTGACCTACAGGAGGGGTGGAAAAATCCTAACGGTCAGCACGTGTCCCAGCCACGCCTTGGGCAGGGCCCTGGCACCAGTTGCTCCAGTGCTTTTCCAGACTAGCTTCTGGCTTTGGCTCCAGGGACCCTGAGGACCAGCCCAGGAACCCCAAAAGGGAAGCCCTACATCTATCAAATCCTCCAAAGTCACCATGGTTCTTGAGGCCGAGTGCTAAGGGGCTGCCTTGAGCCACTTACACCTATTTATTTGGGCTCTCTTTGAGCACACGTGAGCTTTTGAGATGGATAACAGTTCTGGGTGCCTTGAGCCACCCATATCCTTTCATTCAGGCCCACTTCAGCCCCCACGAGCTTTTGAGATGAATAATGATGCTGGGATCACGGCCAGAGTTATGGGATGCTAACCACATCAAAGCTTCATTGCATCTGTTTAACCAGTTGACTGATCCTAGGATAGTTTCAAAGATCAATTTTCCTCCCTTTAGACCTCTTAGCACCTCTCTAAGGTCTAGAAAGAGGAAACCTCTTAATCCTGAAAGAGAAAGTGAGATATCAAAAGGGAAACCCGTGTCTACCAGGATTCCAAATTCCTGGACTCTGAAATCTGAGACTGATCGATGCAATGCTTGACATCATGTATGTGTGGCTAAAATGCAACCTCAGTCTGATATAAACATTCATCACAGGGACCTGGCTAACATTCTCTCTGATATAACTTGAACAGTGTTTTGGAAAATTGTGCAATCTGGGCCAGGGTTCCTAGGAGGCCTCAGAATAAGTGGGGGCAGTCGTGGAACCACACTCTTTGCTCTTGTGAGTTTAATGGAGACACAAATATTCCAGAATTCGGTGGCTCCTATATTACATTCTGCTTCCTTCTAGGCCAAGTGCACATTAAGTTCCTTCTGGGCCAGCTGAAGCACCCCATGTGCAGGTCTTGGGCCTGGGACATGGAGGAAGCAACCTGTGGTCTGGCCCATGGAGGGCCCAGACTGAGGGGAGTGATGTGTGCTCCCCTAAAGGACCTCATGTGTGCAGTTGCCTGGATGCAGCCTGGTGCAAGGGTTGAGTCATGGAACTTTCAGGAAATGTACTCTCTCCGTTAAATTCTGATGAACAAAACAGAAAAGGGCTCCTATTCCCCAAGGAGCTCCACCCTAGTCTCAGTTATTTCCCAAAACCTCTCTGTGCTGGGCTGGACAGAACATTAGCAGAGCACAGTCAGGGATGGCCCTGGGGCTGGAAGATGAGAAGAAGTCTGGAACAGCTTCAGCCTCAAAGCTATTGCACCCAGGCCCGAGTGCTATCTGAGTGGGTAACGAATAGTGTATTATTATCCCTCAAGGTGCAGGATTGACCCGCCCCTTCTCATATACTTCTGGTAGGAGAGGACAACCTTCAGGTGAGCAAGTTCATCAGACATTTTCCATCCAGAGAAGAGGGGTGAAGAGCGCTGTGGAAGCTGATGTGGGACCAGTGCCAGGGGAATGGCCTTGGGCCCTTGGGCCAGGTGATGCCAATGTGTCTCAAAAGGACACCACACTCAGCTGGCCTTGGAATGAACGCAGCTTCTCCTGATGCTAGAGGCTCCTCAGCCAGCCATATTCCTCCTTTTCTCCTTCCTCTCACTCTGTGGACAGAGGAAACCTGGCTGCCAGGCTGGCCCAGAGCTTAACTCAGTGCTGGTCACAGTGGATCAGCACCACGTAGAGGAAAGAGCTCCATCTTTGAAGCAAAGTGTAAATGAGTTCAAATCCCAACCCTGCCACCAACCTGCTGTGTGACCTGGGGCCAATCATTTCATCTTTAGCAGCTTCCAAACCCCAATGAAACCCTTTGCCGTCGAGTCGATTCTGACTCATAGCAACCCTATAGGACAGAGTAGAACCACCCCATGGTGTTTCCAAGGAGCGGCTGGTGGATTCAAACTGCTGACCTTTTGGTTAGTAGCCCAATGCTTAACCACTGCACCTCCAGGGCTCCTTCAGGGCCTCAGCATACTCTATAAAGGGGGCAGTCATCTTTCCTGACAAGAATGCTGAAAAGATTAGAGAGAATGCATGTAAAGTCCCAGGTAGGCTCCTCACACATAGTAGGTGCTTGAGAAATATGAGTTCCTTCCCTCTTCTTCAGGCCCCGCCTCTTGACACTAGGATTCTAGAAGTGTTGGAATGGAGCTGGGGCAGGGCAGGATCCAGGCAGATGAGCTGGGGTTGGAGTAGTTGGCCGGAGCCATAATGGGGACTGAGAGAGTGTCACTGGAGTGACCTAGCACTGTCTATGTGGTCTGGTGAGATTTCCAGAAGATTTCTGTCTCTCAGAGCCTCCCAGATGCCGGGCCTCAGCAGAGGCACAAGCCTGCCCACAGCCCCTTCCGTATTCTCAAGCACTTAGTTTCCCAGTGTAGTTGGCCCTGTTTTGAGAATATAACCTTGTGTGTGTGTATGCGTGTGCGTGTGTGTGTGTGTGTGTGTATGGGAAGAGAGGGGGAAGGGGACTAGGAGCTTGGGTCCGAATCTCAGTTTGATATAAGCTTGTCCTGGGACTTTTGATATGACCCGTGATGTCTCTAAGTATCCACTCCCTCTTCTATTGACAATGACACCCACACCTGCTCTGCCCCCAATTCTTGGGAGGCCATGAGTGGGAAGAGGCTTTGTGGGCTCAGGAGGGCTGGTCAGCCTCTTTCAGCCCACACAGGGACTACACAGGGACAGGTGCTGAGGCAGGAGTGGGACAGAGGGGACTCTTCCCTTCACGGGCTTCCTGCCACCCTCAGGACACAGTCTAGGCCACTCTGACCCCTGTTTTCAGGTTCTGTCTGTCTGGGCTGACCCCATGGGAGTCTGATGAAAGCCACAGATGCTCCACAGAGAAATGAACATCCTCAAGGAACATGGAATGTGATTTCAGGAGTAGGGGAGCCCTTGAGACCTTCAAGGTTAAGAACCCAGGGACTAAATTCCTCTTTCCCTCTTAGCTACTGAAAGTCGTCTTCATGACCCAACTAAGCACTACCACCCCTGTAAAGCCTTTCTTGATGCTCTAAAACCAGTTTGGGGCCACCCAACCCTTGTGGGCGCCTATACACACTGTCTCATTCAACTCCAATGGGCCAGTCTGTCTCCTCTGCGAGACTGAGCTCCCTGGGACCCAGTGTGCGGGCTCCGGTGCCCAGTGCAGGCACAAGGAGGGATCAGGCAGTGTGACTGAGTAAGGGAAGGAAGGAGGCCTGGACAGTCTTTGGAATTCTCTGGGGATGTCAGACTTCAATCCTGCTTTACCCCATCTCTTCCATACTCCAGAATCACCCCGTTTAAACTGGTCAGAGTCCCTACCACCCCACCTGCCCCCAGATCTCCAAAGTCATCCCCCTGGGCCCAGGAAGCGTCCCTAACTGAGGCTATGAGGACAGGACTGTGCCTCCCTTCAGAATGGAGCTCCCCTGGGCAGGACTATGCATCCCTCAGATGGGCTTCTGGGATGTGGCAGACAATGGCTCCCCTCAGACTGGGCCCCTTGGACTGGGACCCGATCTTCTCTCAGGTCCAGGGATCCCTTGTGGGGACAGCACCAAAAAAAGAACACTGCAAGAAGCCTGGAGGACCTTACAAGTCATTTTCCTTTATTTCCTTAACATAGAAAGAAATTTCAACTCCAGAGAGACATATATGCAGAGCAGGTAGATGCAGAGTTCTGTACGCAGCCGGCAGAACCAGGCAGACAGCAGGTTTGCCACCCTCTCCCCTCCATCACAACCCTTCTCACCTCTGCTGGCTCTGTCCTTTGCCCAGGCAGGAAGCTAGAAGCTGGGAAAGAGCCAGGTCAATTTCATGGTCCCAGGAGTAGCCAGACATGGCCTTGGCTGCTAGACCTGGCTACATCATTATCTAGCTGTGGGACCCTGGGCCTCAGTTTCCTTAACTGTTAAATGGACTAGAAGTCCCTGCTAGGTAATGGAGAGTAGAGTGTGAAGCTGTCACGCTGTGTCGGTGCCTGTTAAGGGTCTCCTGGTCATTTGCGTCTCCCGGTTTTCCTCCCAATCATGGCTTGAGTCACAGGCGGTTGAACTGCTCTGGCCCTGGTGGAATGAATGGACTTGTGGAAAGAGCTGAGGTGCAGAATCCAGGCCCCAAAGCAGACTCAGGCTCAGAACTGCCCTTGGGCTGCACCAGTAGTGAACTTCATCATGTCAAGGCTGACTCTCCCCCCAGGTGAGTTAGGAGGGACATGCTGCAGCCCACTGCCCCAATGCCTCCAACTGGGGGGGCGGAGGGGGGGCTGCTCCTCCCCCTCAGGATCACCAGTGGGGTTGGGGATCCCTCTGCATCCAGTGAGGGCATCTGCCCCCCATGGGTTAATCCTCATCAGGCCTGGGGCTTCAGATAACCCAACTGCCCTCTAATTAACACACGCACGTTCATAATGGCGACCTACGCTGTGCTGTCAAGTGGAGAACTGAAATCATTACCCAGATGATAGGTGGAAAAGACCAACTGAAACTCAGTTAAGGAACTTGGTCCTCCCCCTTCACCCTCTAAATGGCCTTCATGGTCTGGTGCAGCCACTCCATAGGGGTCATGACCTGGACTTCCCATGACCTAGACTACTTGTTAGTCTCTGCTTTGAAACATGTATGTGTGTCACACAAGAAAACATATGTGTATAGACACGGCTACATACTTGGGGAAAGACACAGGGCAAGTGGAAGAGGAAGCGCTGGTCCAGACTGTATCTTCTAGGACCCATGTTGTATTTATGCTTAGAGACACTTAGAGACGGGCCTCAGAACCATGTAGCCCTCTCTAACCCTTCCATTGTATAGATGGGGTCACTGAGGCCCCGAGACAAGGGAGATCCCAAGGGCATGCAGTGAGTCCAAAGAGGAGGGGCCCTAGGAGCAAGCTAAACATAAAGGGGGAAGATTGTAACTTGGCCCCTACCACTTCACCACCTGGGATCTCTCCCCAACAAAGCACCCGCAGGGTGCATGCTAGGAGAAGGGGGCCCATGCCCCAAAGGTACAAAGCAATAATGGTGGAACCCCAGGCACCTGTGGTAGGTGAGTTCGTGAGCAACTTAGGGACGAGGGGGAACTTTCTGGCACACCTCGCATCACACCCTGAGGGGACAACTTAGCAGGCAGGTCCCTCTCTTTCACCTCCTCCATTACTTCAAAGGAGTGGATGACTGGTAAATCTTGGTCCCCAGGAAGCCCTGAGGCCAGAAAACAGAGAAAGAGAAAGTGACAGAAACACCCCAAAATTATGCTTGACCATGAAGGTCTGGCAGATCTTTGGGAAGTGGCTTTGGCCAGCTTGTCAGAGTGTCTATAATATGAGTTCACCCCTCCCCTCCTTCCAACCCGCCCCTGCCCCTGCCCCCACAGTGGATGCCTGGGCCAGGCCCCCCTCTATTTGGGCTTCATCTCCACCCTGGAGTTGATGTCATCCGCATCCAGGTCACACTCTTCCACCTGGCCGCTGGTCCACACCTTCAAGCGATCCATGAGGTGACTGCTGCGCGGAGCCAGGATGAAGTCGTAGATCAGCACAGCCAGGGCTCCCCCAGTGAACGGTCCCACCCAGAAGATCTAGAAGCAGAATAGGCCTGCTCAGAGGGCATCGGGTCTGCCCCGCCCTTGGAAAGCTTTCCCTGGTTTCCTCTCTCTACCATTGCCACATTAGAAGTGTTCTCTCTAACCTCTTCTCACTGAGGCCTGGGAGAGAGGTGGGCAATGCTGAACCCCAAAGCATGAAGCACTAAGGGTGGGATTTCAGGCACCTGCGGCAAGTGGTACAAAAGGTTAATGCATCTGGCTGCTAACAGAAAGGTTAGAGGTTCGAGTTCACCCAGAGGCAGCTTGGAAGAAAGATTCTAGCAATCTACTGCCGAAAAATCAGCCATTGAAAACTCTGTGGCACACAGTTCTACTCTGGTACACATGGGATCACTGTGAGTCAGAATTGACACGACAGCCACTGAAAAGGAAGAAGTGGCCATTAGGGGTGAAGGACTTTTGGGCTTAGGGAGGATTTTGTGGCCTCCAACCACATGGTGTCGGCACTTCAGTGTGGGAAGGCAATGACATGCCCTCTCTGAGACTTCCTGTTGCCTTAATAAGCGTGCCAGTCTCAAGCGCCCCAGAAGCAGCCCATACACACTGCTTGTGGTGGTGGGCATCTCCTTGGCTCTGTGTGACTCAGCACAGGAAGCCTGGACTGGTCAGTACTAGCTTCTTCTTGTGGATAGCCACTGGCCACCCTAGCTTCAGTAGGGCCACAGAAATAGCTTGTGTATGTGTGCATGTGTGTGCACACACTCATTTTTATTGTATAGGTAACACAACAGCCACAGAGATGGTTTAGTTTGATAAAAGGTCAGCCTGGAACAAAAGCATCCACAATAGCTAAAATCCACGGAGCCCTTGCTCGGTGCTGAGCTTAGGTTATAGTATTGGCTCCTCTCATCTGCCCAGCAGCCCCATGAGGTAGGTTCTACCATACTCCCATCACACAGCTCAGGAAATGGAGGCTCCAAGAGGGTGTGCAGCCTGCTCTGGAAACTGGAAAGTGGCAGAGCCAGGACTCAAATCCATGCTGTCACCCATGCTGCTGGAATGATGGGGAGCCAGGTCATGAGGGGGCAGGTATAGGCTGGGAGGGCAGGGTCAGCCCTCCACTGTGTGACCTGACCTCACCCTCATCTCAGGCCTTATCTGTGCAACAGTCACAGTGCCTCTGCCCAGCTGTCTCCCGAGCCCCCGTGACGGGGAAGAGCAGCTCATGGGTGGGTCATGCTGACTGTGAGGTAGAAAGCCTCTCGCCCCCCTCCACAGGGTAGCCCCAAGACCGCCTACCCAGTGGTCAGTGAAGTTGTGGGTGATCACCGCGGAGCCGAAGGACCGAGCAGGGTTAATGCTACAGCCGGTATAGTCAATCTGTGAGGGGAGAGACAGAGAGGGAGGGAG